TGTGATCTCATATAAATGCATCTGAATTGTACAGCTTCCATGACAGAACGTGACAACCCTTGGTCAGCACCGTCAAACTGCCTGCTTGATGCTCTACACAACGTTGGTTTGGAATGCCTTCATTGGGATGTCAAGTCAAAAGCTGATGTGAAACGGGATGGAAGGATTTTCCTGTAAATCCACCATTTCCAATTCAGCCCAACAGTGATGACAACGTAGTTGCCATTTATTTACCCTGGACAGCACAAGAGAAGTCAAAAATGCAGTCTGGAGGAGTGAGTGTTGCCCCTGAATGACCTCTACTTTAGTTATCCATGAGAAGAAAGTTCTATTTACAGCAGATGCTGCTTAGGTGATCAAGGAATCACAGTTCCCAAAGTAGTTACACCTTAGAAACATTACCTTAGCACAACTGTTTCTTCTCTCACACCTAGACAATAAAACCCTTCTGTGTTGAAGCTGGATCCTCGAAGGCTTCTGAAAGCTGATTCCACTCCAAACTGCAGAAATAAACCTGAATGTAGAAGTACCCCTGTGACTTTTGCTCCTGGTAGCTTTGAGCTGCCAGTCTTAGGCAGCTGGAAAGGAGAAGAACCCTTTATCACTAAGTAGATGGGTTTGCTTTAGGACCAGATAGATGTTTGTTTGAGGGCTCTGATAGCTCTATACTAAAGCAGGGTATTCTTTCATTTTATCTTAGTGTTTAGGAAATCACCAGCTCATTTTTTGTTTCCTTTCAGAAATTCTCGCAGAACCCCCCTTGTCCTGACCATTCCGATCTCCCAGTCTTCAAGCAGCAATAACCTTTCCTCTTTCACCCATTTTCAGATGCTTGTTTTTGGCATCACCCAGCAAGGCTGAGCAGGGAGCTTGTGCTTGAGCTTTAACCCTGGTCTCCTCCAATTCCTCACTGTTTCAGGCTCTGCAAGCGTCAATAATTGCCATCCTAAGGAAGCCATAGGCAGCTGAGAAGATCTCCATTTAATCCATTTCTGGAAGGTAAAGAGGTGCTGTTGTCTTCTACCTTATATGAAGAAGAACCCAATTCTTGAGTCAATTCGCTTTGAAAGGCTTGGCTGGGGAAGGTTTCCTGAGGGCATGGGGCACAGCAAGGGGTACTTTAACACCAGTTTTCCTCATCATTTATCACCTGCAGTGTATTCTTACAACAGTATAACAGGAGATGATATTCTCATTTTCTTCTTTTTCTTCCCAGCTTCCCCCAGAAATTAGGGAATTGTTCACATCTGTCTCCTTGGGATTTCAGTGGATCTCTAAAGTAGTGAATTATCTATTGACAGAAATCAGAGACAAAAATAACAACTATTTGTAGATCATAGAATCTGTTATCTAGAAAACAGACAATAAATCATGTTTAAGTAGTTTTCCATTTCTCAGGTGTAAAAGACTGTAAGGTTTTAAGATGTTATAGGTTTTAAGATGTCCCTTCTCAGGTCAAAATGACACTGCAGCACTTCCACAAATGTTCTGTGCCTTCTGATGGATGAACATGAGCAGAAAGGAAAATGAGAAGTTAGACAATTTAACACCAGCAGTGTTAATTTTCTACAGTTTTGTCATTTAATTGCAAGAAACTTAATATATTTCTTCTATAACTTTATGGCTACTTCTTGCTAAGCTCTAGAGACTGTAACATTCTGCTTAGTGAACTGAAATATCTGTCAATATAAAAGCATCTCCTCATAAAGGCATTGGGAACTATTATGGAACATTGTTATGTACACTAGTATTACCTAAGGAATCATTGGGACTTTGTAGAGCAGACATTTGTTAGAGAGAGTGGAAAACAAAACTTCCAAATTAAAAATACAATTGCTCTTGATTTAATTCAATAAAATATTTCATCCTCTAACAAACTCATATGCATGGGGGGAAGAAGTAATCCTGTGATGAGAAACAAAGAAAGAAAACACTTTGTCACTGCCTGGGCTCGCCTGCTTGAGCTGTCTCCCTGTCTGTGAGACTGAAGCCTCATCTCCTCTCTGCACGTTATTTCTGCTCCCTTGGATCCGTACTGCTTCCCCCCTCTGCAAAACAGGCTCTGGGTCTTGTAACAGCAAACAAAGTATTCTTTGTGCTCTTTGGAAACCTTTATGTTTTATTGCTTTGCAAAAATAAACCTTCTGTCTTGGTAAAACGATGTGTAGACTGTTGTACCCAGGTCAAAGGAGAAGGAACTGGCTAACACATAGCAAACGTGTCACCTCCCCAGCCCCAACTCTCATCCCAACTTGGATCGGGAGGAGGGTGAGGAAGAGCAAGCCAATGAGAAAACACAAGGAGAGGCCTTGTAATTGTTTTCTAAAGGTCAGTTTCTTGCTAGAGCACTGGTGTGAAACACAACCAACTCCTCTGGGACACCTACAGCACAAGGTCCATCCATTCCTTGCGAGGTGTGACTCTAAAACAGCTTCACCTCCACGCAAGTCATCAGGCAAAGAGCAGCCAGTGCTGGAGCCCTCTCTGTGCAAGGTAAGCCTCAGGAGCAGCTGTGCTGTTGTCGCCTCCATCACAGCCTCAAAGAGGAGGAAACCTTAGGAGAAACTTACAAATGATATGGATAGAAAACTGAGCCCATTGGGGAAAAGTTTGGTGGGAGTCAGGGGCACAGTGACATTCATTCCGGTAGAAACTGGGTTACTGCCTGTATTTCGATTCAGCTGCCTGTGATAACACAGCACACGCTATTTCCAGCCTCTTTTTATTCCTGTTCATACATTTCCCAGGTTTTTGGGCCATTGGCTTTATTCATGAGCTTAACAACAGCCAGTATTGTGTGCACTGTAAATATTAGAACTGTACTGAGCAGATAGCTGTGGCGTGTGGCTGCTGGTATAATACAAATATGCTTATTACTGTTAGAATTTCAGCAAGGGAAAAAACCAGACAATATCATTGTGAGAAATGGGCTTTTTTCCTCCCCATCTTATTTACAGAGCTCACGGTTCACTGGTAAAGACTGTTAGGGCTGAAATTGCGAAAGGAACTCAACCTCAGCTATATTCGAAGACATTCCCCAAATGAAGCAGAGCACACTCGTAGTAACAGCAATAATAAGTTCACTGCAAGGCGTCCTCTGGAAGACTTGACAGCACTACAGAAATTACTTGCAGGCAATGCTGGCGCTCACATCTGATTTAATATCAGCATTCAGTACTTTATGTCATATTTGAGCAAAGGCTTGTAGATACAGGCGAGTGTCTGTCCAGCTGAAGAGCTGCTGGGAGCAAGCAGGGGCAGGCCAAGGGGAATGGCTTGAACCTGAGAGGGAAGACTGAGATGAGCTCTTAGGCAGAAGCTCTTCCCTGTGAGGGTGCTGAGGCGCTGGCACAGGGTGCCCAGAGAAGCTGTGGCTGCCCCATCCCTGGCAGTGTTCAAGGCCAGGTTGGACACAGGGGCTTGGAGCAAGCTGCTCTATGGAAGGGGTCCCTGCCCGTGGCAGGGGTTGGAGCTGGAGGAGCTTTAGGGTCCCTCCAACCCAAACAGTCTGGGATTCTGTGATTCTTAACCTCTGGGCCCTGCATGGGGGAGCACTGCCTGTGCCTGGCTGGGGGTCCTGTGCCTGAGGGGCTTTGGCTCCTGGGAAACACCCAAGCCAGGAGTTTCCACTCCGAGCTGCTGTCTGATGCTGGTCCTGGCTGCAGCCCTGGCCAAGCAATCTCACTGACCATTGCCTCAGTTCCTCCCCTCTGTTAAACACAAAGAATGGTACCAGCATGGTCCAGCTGCTCAGCTCAGGGGTGTGTTGAGAACCAGCTAAAACCTCAGAGAAGCGTTTTGATTGGGAAGCTCTGACAATAAGGACTGGTCTGTCTGTGGAGTAGCAGTTGTTATAAATGCATGATATTTTTTAAGGTAAGCTTGAACCCCCCAATTTATCTTAATGCACTGGGAATTAATTTCATTTTCTTATATATAATGCTGTAGAGGCACTTGCAGCAGTACATTAGCAGACTATTAAAGCACTTTATGTGGACATGACTAAATGCTCAGGTTGGTGACCTGAAGTGCTTTCATTTTTAACGTGCCTTAAATCACTGAAATGTGCTTGAAACGAGGACATTTATTAGTCCTTCGCTTTCACAATAAGTTACTTAACAACAGCCATCTAATCAGAAATAGCCAGTAAGAAACGAAAGGCAGCTGAAATAGCCTTCACAAAGAGGCTATAGGCTACAAAAGCCCAGGCAAATCCTGATGCATCACTTTTCCTGGTGGACTGAGAGTACCTGGAAGGGCCCTTACCTGATGTTCTCCATAGATGGTGATTTAAATTCCTCATCTGCCATCAGCACTGTAAGTGGGATGAAGCCTTTAGCTGTGCTGTTTGCAAAAAGTAATTGCTACAGGCACCAGGAGCAGAAGCTGCTCTGCCCTGTGAACAGGATCTGGGCAGGAGGAATATGCAGGAGTGGGAGATGGAGCATTTTGTGCTGGTGATGGGCTTTGGAGATACCTGACATATAAGAGCAAAGCTGGGTTCCTGACTTACCATATTTGCTCTTTCAAGGTTCTCCAGGAGCCCCGATAAATCCTTGTGCTGAGGAGTGACTCTAATATGTAGAGGGCATGGAAGAGGAGGTAAGCAAGGCCAGTGGTTACTAGTATTTTTACCAGGATCACCCCAATTACATACAGTTTAGGCCATGTCTATTTCCTTGATATGAGTGGCCTGCAGAAAATAGAAAATAGATGGGAAAATGCCAGGAAATAAAGAGCTGTTATGTATATAAAGCCATTTGAATCATCGATGCACAGGAGGCAGCAGCCCTTTAAAAACCTGATGGTCTTTATTTTTTCAGACAATGCTATCAGATGCTCTCCTCGTCATTTAAAATAAAGGTGAAAATATAATTCAGTGTGCAAGAAACTAAGCACCCAAGTCCCATTTGTTCGCATGCACCCATGTGAAACATGGGCAGAAGGAGTACATACGTCAGCAGGCACGTACTCCAGAGCCTTGCAGGACTCCTGTGAGCTTTGTGCAGGACTGTGTAGGTGCATGAATTTATGCCTGCAAGTACCTAATGCTGAGATGGAAATGCTGAATCCACTGTCCCAGTATGTAATTTGCACTGATGATGGGAGAGGTGGAGTGGATCATCTCAAGGAGATGATGGTGTCCAGCAAGGGCGATGCTGCAGCATCTTCATGAGCTTGGTCCCTGCATCAGTTCATGGTGTATGACCTGCCTTGTGTAGAGTGATGTGCTTGTAACCATTAGTTGTTACTATTATCTCTCAGTTTCCATTCAATGCAGATTATTGAGTTTAATCAGTGAAATGAATTTGCTAATGAACTTGTTAATAAGCTTGCTGCAGCTAATGTTGTGGGGATTTTCTGTTCATTTCTTTTGGTTATTGTTGTTCTCAGATATATAGATATAAAGCCGCTGCAGCTGCTTGGCAGCTTGGGTTTTTGCTTCAGGCACATGATGAGAATAAGTTCAGTTACAATTGTTTTGATGTAAAGAATAGTTAAGAGAAAATTTAGTAGCAATATCAGCTTAAGAGAGTTTGAGCTCATGACCTTTGCATTGCAGTGAAACCAGTTTAGCTGCCAGGCTGGCAGACTTTCATTCCCATATGTGAGATGTTCAGTTACTGGCACTGGGAGGACAGCTTTGGAAGAGTTCAGAAAGGATTGTTCCAACTCATTTATGTGCACTTCTGTGCACCCATTGGATAAATACAGCGTTACAGAGCATGTTCCATGAGCATTAGTCACAGCCATAGTGTATGTATTGTAGAATCATAGAATCCCAGACTGGTTTGGGTTGGAAGGGACCTTAAAGCTCCTCCAGCCATGGGCAGGGACCCCTTCCACTAGAGCAGTTTGCTCCAAGCCTCTGTGTCCAACCTGGCCTTGAACGCTGCCAGGGATGGGGCAGCCACAGCTTCTCTGGGCACCCTGTGCCAGCGCCTCAGCACCCTCACAGGGAAGAATATCCATAGATAAAGATACAGAATTAATACATGTAATTGTTTGTGAAATATTTGGGAAACACAGACCAGATTTAGGGCATTCCCTGTGTTTTGAAGGGAGCCCTGTCCTTGGCAGCACAGGCGAGAGCTGGACATCACAGGCTTCAGCCCTCAGTATGCTTTGGGCCAGCCTCATCATTTACTTATACCAAGGAACACCTCAGGCTGGTACTTACCTGGTGCAAGGTCCCAGTGTTGGTGCAGTTCACACCTTGGTTTACACAGGGCTTCCCTTTGCAAATATCAGCCCAAATTCCTGCAGGTCACTGAGCGTTCACATGGGGCTCTCAACCAACCTGCTCCTGGAACAACGGCGCTTGCTCAGGTCCATCCTGCCTGTGATTCCACAGCGTGTTCCTGGTGCCACCAGATAATTCCAGAGCACAAATTCCTTGTCTGAGGAATGCTGCTGCAGTCTGCTGACATGGCTTCTTCCCCCCTGGGACCTTCCTGCTGAACAATATAGCACAGCAATGAAGTGGGGAGATGAGATTCCTCTGGCTGCAGTCTGTGTCATGGTAACAGTGGCAGCAGGTTTTGGCCTTGACACCCTGTCAATTTTCTATCAAAGCACTGGAAAATAAGAAGCTGACTCCAAAAGCCTCTGTGCTATTAGTACAGCACTCCTGGCTACCCACAGAGAGAGGCAAGGCTGTCAGACACCTCTGCACTAAACCTTGCTATCAGGGTGCTGCACAGAACAACTTTCTTTCCTGCATTCTCAGTAAATATTGTGAAACACCCTTTCCTTGGCAGAAACATGAAATTCACTTGTGAGAAGGAGAATTGTTACTGTAGATGTAGTAAACAGAGTTTTACACTCTCTGTATGCTCCAAGAGTATGATGTGCGGATAGGCTCCACAACTCGTTAAAGTTGTAAAGTAGGTATGCTTTATTCAGCGCTGAGGCGCATGGGGGATTGCTCCTCCAAAGGCATGTGCACCTCAGCATCATTTCCCTCTGCATTTATCCTCTAAAGTTATACTTATGCATGAGGTTGCACAACATGCCTATACATATTCATGTCCTATCCCCACTCCGTATTATAATGAGCTGAAAGGTCCTTTGCACTTGCGCAGTGCTTCCTGGTGGTAGTGGGCGAGGGTCTCAAGAAGAAGTCAACGACTCTTCCTCGGGCCTGAACTTTTCACCTCTAGTCGTTACCCATGCTCCCTGGAGGCTTGGTCATTGTCTAAGGTGCAGAGCCAATTTCAGCCGGCCTGGGTGTCCAAAGGACTGGAACCAAGTCACGGCCCATACCTCATAACAATAGCCATGTCCTTACATCTTGTTCTAGCACACACGCGGGTACAATAAGCATGAACAAGCAGTAACATTGTTAAGTAAGCAGCTTAACCCTAGCCCCCCTGTACACCCTTTACATCAAGTACACAGGAAGTTTACTTTAGTGTTTTAACAATGAAAAAGGAGTTTTGCACACCATAGTCAAAATGGGCTGCAAATAGCTCTCCAAACAGGTTGGGTGGCTGGAAGGAAAGCATCTATAGAGGGAGAACAGGTAAGGGCTGGGATGGAGTGCAGGGCAGCACTGAGGCTGGTCTCAACTGGTGTAGATGTGCCCAACCCCTTGTTAAATCCCACCTCTGCCAGGAATGACACAGTGCTTGGTCTTTTTCTGGCACTAGAGATCATTCCCTGATTACTGTCCCTATCATCGTTTTTAGCACCTGCAAAAAGAAGAGGCAATGACACTTAAGTGTGAATGTGACACAGGCATGAGGTGAACAAATTATAGCTCTGAAATTCATTTCATCCTTTGAGATGAAAATGACCCATTTTGGCCAGACCCTTATCCTTGCTCCATGCACCCCCTGACCCTGTCAGGCACCTCATCCCACCCCACGGCCCAAGGGCCCGCTCTGTTTCTGATGACACTTGCATTAACCCGATGGGTAGATGTCCTGACAGCTGCCACCATGGGTTTGCTCATTTCCAGGAGGTTTCAGCTTCTTGTCCCTTTCTAGAAGCATATTAAAACAGAGTCAATGCACGACAGGACACAGCCCTCACGCAAAGGGGTTGCCTTGTGAAACGTTCCTGGAGCAAGGGCAAGAGCACGTTCATGAGCAAATCTGAAACTAGAGGTTGAAATTGTCTCCCACTGAGGTTAGAGCAGTGCAGTGAACTGATTTTCACTATGACCTGTGGGAAAAGCAACTGCACCTCACCCTTAATGTGCCACGAAAGCTGTTAGGTGCTTCCCACTCTATTATCATTGTAATCAGTACATTTTGCAAAAGAAAGGGATGCTCTTTAGGGTGATTACAGGGTTTTACTCTTTACGATGAATACAGGGTGGTTTTTTTAACCTCACAGATCTAAAACCGAAAGTATTTTATCATAAATGTATAGCTCCCCTTTTGAAATGGGTGAAATGAGGGACTTAATTCCCATTCTGCTAGTGGATCAGTAACAATGTCTAACCAACACAAGCCAGCAATTTCCATAGGTTAGGGTTGGGTTTGGTTGAATGTAGCACCAAAGGTTATAGACAACAGCTTTTGGGGCCAAATCATCCATGACAATTGCATGAATATTTCCATCACTGCTGGTTCCAGGTCTGCAGTCTTTAGGGACAAGCTGGTTCCTGGCCACCAGCATGAGTACATCTGGGTTGGGGGCTCAAATGGAGCAGAGATTGCTTTGGAAATGCAGAGGGAGAGCCTGAAACACAACTTGGAGCATTGTGTGCAGTTCTGGTGTCCTCAACATAAAAAGGACATGGAACTGTTGGAACAAGTCCGGAGGAGGCCACGAGGATGATCAGGGGACTGGAGCACCTCCTGTATGAAGACAGGCTGAGGAAGTTGGGGCTGTTCAGCCTGGAGAAGAGAAGGCTGCGTGGAGACCTCAGAGCAGCTTCCAGTATCTGAAGGGGGCCTATAGGGATGCTGGGGAGGGACTCTTCATTAGGGACTGTAGTGATAGGACAAGGGGGAATGGGTTAAAACTGAAACAGGGGAAGTTTAGATTGGATATAAGGAGGAAATTCTTTCCTGTGAGGGCGGTGAGGCACTGGAATGGGTTTCCCAGGGAGGTTGTGAATGCTCCATCCCTGGCAGTGTTCAAGGCCAGGTTGGACAGAGCCTTGGGTGCCATGGTTTAGTGTGAGGTGTCCCTGCCCATGGCAGGGGGGGCGGAACTGGGTGATCTTAAGCTCCTTTACAACCCTAACTATTCTATGGTTCTAGGATTTTAACTTCGTGTTGTGTTTGCTCACCTTCACCAAGAGCCCTGCAGGAATTGCTCTGGGCTTTTCCTTACACACTGGACAGCTGTCCTTATTTATGGCACCCTTTTTAACATCGTGAGGCTTCACCCTCACATATCATAAAGCTCAAACTAAAATGCCTTCACCTGAGCTTTCACGTGGAGTGAGCAAATGGTGGGAGATGAGCAATGACAACATACTGCATTCTGCGTCACAGTTAATGGTAAGCCAGAGTGTATCCTGACAGGTTTTATCTCCCACTGTATGAATAACATTTTGAAGACCATCCTTTAATGCTATTTTACACTAGGTTAGATAAGATTACTATCTACAGAAATGTTAAAAATGGTCAATGTCTGCATGCTCTTGATGGCCCTGACACAGGAGAAAAATAAATCCTTCTCATGCTGGTACAATTTGAGATAACCTACCTTCGATGTGACAACTGGCTTCACATCTCAGAGCCTGTGGTTCCACTTGTCTTTCTCCTGCTTTCACTACTGAGAAAGAAGCACAGACACAGCAGTTCAAAAACCTTGTCAGATTTAGGCTAATTTGAGGTGAAGGAATAGGTGCTGTGGGTTGTAAGGTTGGAAACCAGTGTCTTCATGGAGAATACCTTGCTCAGCACCTCACTTGTGTTCTCTGGGCATCAGCGTGGGCAGTGCGGATGTTGAAGGTGGCATCATGGCAAAATAAGTGTCCCTGGAAAGAGGCAGTTTCTAATGCACACAAGGTTCTAAAGGTGGAAAGTGAATCATA